TCACTATTTTCATTTTAAAAATAAGGAAACAAACACTAAGAACAGAAAAATATCTTTCCCAGAGTCTCACAACTAGTGACAGAGCTGGGATTTGAACTGTTTGCCTTCAGAGTTAGAGCCCAGACCTTATTTTAAAGCAATTACGCTACATTAAACAACAAAACTAGACAAATCCCTAACAACATTCTTTCTGATGCCTGTGTGCTTTCACACATTATCACACTTAATCCTAATAAATCTATAAAGTTGATATTAGCACTTGACAGATGAACAAATTGGAGCTCAAATAACTTAAGTAAATCCTTTCAAATCATGTGTAAGTTCATGAATTTGAGCTCATATGCAGGTCTTATCTGAATTCAGCTACTTTACATTTTACTGTTTTGCCTAATTAATCAAAATAACTTTTTTTTAGTTTTAGCTAATTTTGCTGAGAATGTGATTCAGCAAAGAATCCACCAAATGATTTAAACAGCTATATGTTTCTTCTCTGTGAGTACACGGGTATTCATAAATATTATAGATACTCTGTTAGCAACTTAAGCCTGAGCCACCTCTCTCCTTACTGACTTGTACCAAAGTTTACAGGAAAATTGCTGGGGCACTGTTTCAAAAACCTGTCTCCAATAACATGTCAGCAGTTGAGGATGGCAGGCAGTATTCTGTTCACACTTCCTGATACTTTTTAATATTTCTATGCTGATTTTTACCTTTATCTCTTGATTCAACTGCAGACTTTTGTGTGCACCACTCAAAAACTTCCCTTAACCAGAGTCACCTGAAGAGGTAAGTCAGGCGTCTGTAGAATCATCATGTCTAAGGATTAATCCCTGGTTGTTTCCCAGCCTCTAAAAGAACACAGCCTAGCAGTACTGTGCAGTAAGTCAGTCAGAGCTGCGTGTTGGAAGTAAGTCAGCAACATATGCAAACATTGGAAGGTGGGTGAGGCAAGGTGCGGGGGTTTTTTGGTGTTGTTTTGTTATTTTGTTTTTCTGTAGCAAAGGCCTGTGGAAGATCTTCCAAAAGTGGCAATCCTGGAGATCTGCGCGCAGGCAGATAAGGAAGAGGAGACCCAAGACTGACCCCATCGTGGAGGTCCTGGACCCACTCCTGGGAGGAAAGAGGCAAGGGTCCCCTTCCCAGTGACTTCAAATGAGGAAACTGAGACCTAGACACAGGCAGGTAGTTGCTCAGAGTCACAGACATCAGTAAGGGGCAGGAGCCACGGAGACCAGGAGTAGAAGACCTCACGGCTTCAGAGAATCCCCACCCCCAGCCAAACCTGAACCCCCAACAGCATCTCAGCTAGGTGCCAGTGCCCAGCCCCCACCCTGTTGGAACAAAGAGTTTATAAACCAATCCCCACACTACTGATGTGAATCCATGTCCTCTCAGGGAGAAGCCCCAGAAACGCAGTGCTAGATGGACCCTTAGAGTCCCCTCCCACCTCTGGCTGGGCCTGAGCCCTGAGTCTCAGCCATCCATTCACTAAGAAGGACAGGACTACTCCCTAACCAGGTGAGCAGATTGGGGGTAGGGGGTAATAGGCAGGTGCTGGATTGGGGCTGGAGTAGAATGGACAATTTTTCATTTATTTTTAGTTGATTTGTATAGTCTCTAATTTTTAATCTATAACACATGAGGGTGGGTTTAAATGATCTATAAAGTCCCTTCAGCTGTAAAATCCTCTGACTTTAGCTGACTCCCAAGTATTACTCTGAGTATTTGAGAAATGATCCTCAGAGAAATAAATTTCCCTTTGTGTATACACCTAGTTAGTAGATGAGCCAGGATTAAAATCCAAATAGAGGCAGTATAGCAAAGTGGGTAAGGTAGTGGCCTCTGAAGCGAGCAATGGTTCAAATCACAGCTCTGGCACCTGATGATTATGGTAACCTAGGACCATTTGCAAGCTTATCTTTGCTTTAGTTTTCTCATCTGTAAAAGCAGGGTAATAATACTCTCTATATAGTTCTGTGAGGATAAAATAGAACACTGCATAGCACAGTGTAAACTACAATAAATATTAGGTATTCTCTTATCTCCCATCTCACTGTCCCATTTTCTTCGCAAGGGACCACATTGCCTTTTAAGGATGAGTGTGGAGTGGACATTACATTTCAGCATTAAAGTGAGTTTTGATAAATAAGTATGTGGTAAGACCCTTTAAAAAAAAACGCATGTACAAATACTTCTCTGTGGATAAAGAACATTTTGAAAAGCAATCACTCCTTCAGTAAATGTTTACTGAGCCCCTACCCTATGCCAGACACTGTGCTAAATGCTGAATATGGGATAATGGACAAAAGATACAGTCTCAACCTTCATAGCAGTAACATTGGATTGAAAACAAACACCTGAGATCTACCTATGAACTACGCAAATACCTTTCACACAGTGAAGTTAATACAATGTAATAAAATGAACATTAGTATTTGAGACTAGCTGTACATATATACTTGTGTTTATAAAATAGGATATTCTTTATAACTAAGTTCTATGTTATTTATAATATTGGTCATTTCAATGAAATTTTAGTAAATTCCCTGACAATTAGGCTACTTCTTCGCTACATAAAATAGAATACTGGAACGGGTATGTTTAATTAAGGATACTCTCTTAAAATGTGTGATAAGCACCATCTGTCTGAGGGTTACATGAATGAAATGTAACAGTTTTGCTAATAACCAATAAATAGCAATTCCTTACAGGGCATTACAAAGTTCAATTTTATGAAGTTTGTGCTCATTCATTTTCTTTTTAAAAAAAAATTTTTTTAATGTTTATTTTTTTAGAGAGAGAGAGCACACACGCATGAGTGGGGGAGGAGCAGAGAGAGAGGGGGACACAGAACCTGAAGCAGTCTCCAGGCTCTGAGCTGTCAGCACAGAGCCCCATGTGGGGCTCTAACTCACGAACAATGAGATCATGACCTGAGCCGAAGTCTGATGCTTAACTGGCTGAGCCACCCAGGCGCCCCTCATTTTTCTTTTTCTTCATGTGTTGTGTGTGTCTGTGTGTGTGTGTGGTGGGGGGAGAGAGGGAGATAGAGAGAGACAGAGAAAGAGAAGAAACACCTGTCTAAAAAGACAGCTGATATTCTGGAGTTAGAGTCATCTATATCCTGATGGTCTTTAGATTATTTACATTTGAGTTAGGAAGCTAAAAGAGGCCAAGAATCAACATAGAAAAGAAGCCGGATTATTCATATGACAAAGGTACTTCATGGTGATACCTTAAATCCTTAACACATTCCTTAATCTTTAATACTTTAACGTAAGGAATCCGTTAACCCATTAACACATCCCTAAAATCTCTTTATACTCCAGTTTTGCTATCCCTCTGACTTCTGAATGTGACATACTGTCTATCCAATTTTACGTGAGAATAAAAAGAATGATTCTGTTATAGGTATTTATGAGTATAAAGCACAGTAAAAAGAGCCCAAGTTTAGGTGTCACGTAGACTGTTCAAATCTCAATTGTGCCATTTGATTATATAATTTGTGGGAATGTTTTTCAGTCTCAGTCACAATGTTTTTGAGTCTCAGTAGAAAACGTTGGCAAAACAGGGATAATACAAGTTTTCTTGTAGAATGATAGTAACTTCAAGGAATGTACCGTGCCTGGCAAACGCTAGCTATTTGTGGTATTAGTCGTTGGCTGTATACATTTCAAGGACCACAAATCAAGGGTAAGAATACCAAAAGATCACTGCGTGTCTAAAAAGCTAGTTGCTATATTGACACATGTAATTTCCCTTCAATTATTTACAATCCTTTCAAATGGAGAACACAAGTTTAAATAAACATGGTAAAATTGGGACCGAATGAGGATATTATAAAAGTTGGTTGAACTGTGAATCAACAAGGAGATGAGAATATCAATGTGCTGTCCTAAATATGGTTGCATGACTCTCAAAAGGTAAAAAGGAATTTGGCTAATGCATCAGAGGCTTCTTTTTTTTTAGGGTAATTTCTAGAACTCTTTTTGGAACCGGCTGTTTGGGAATAAAAATCAGCTGCCTTTTACGGGGAAAAGTAATGATTTAAATAGAAGGTGCTGAGGGCAAACTACTTACCTGAAGAAAGTGCATACATAAAAGCCAAGGTTCTCTAAATGACATATTTCAAACCTTCCACTGAGAGAACACCTTTCCTCTCATCATCTCTCCATCGCAAGCAATTTTCTCTTTACAATTATTGTGGGTACCTCAGTCTTCAAAATTCTCCCCAATCCTTCATTACGGAGGAAACCTGGAGCAGAGCAAGAGCACTTCTGTCTGAAGCTACACCTACTTTCCCCCTCGTGATCACAGGTTTCCTAAAGCTAAAACGTACATCTACAGTCCAGGAGCTCGTGGTAGTCAGGAAAACAAAGCACCTTCTTACCCAATTCAAACAGCGGCGGGAACGTTTAATTCCAAACATGAACGACTCCCTCATCCCAAACATTTGTAAAAGGTGCAACCCAAGGCAATGGAAACAGCCAGGACAAGGATGGTAAAGGAGCTCTCGAAAATCGAGAGTGACTAAATGCTGCCAATGGGAGAGTAATGACACTCCTTGGATACTGGACGACTCGCTACTACAAATCGCGGTACACATTGTCTTTGGCCTCAGTTGGGATTCCGAGGTCGAGTTCCAAGTTGGAGATGGACTGTCCTCGTGGAGAACGGGGTGAGCCGGAATCCCGGGGCCTTTTCCAGCAGCAGCGAGTCAAACGCTTTAGGGCTGGATGCAGACTCCTGGTTCAACCCTCTCCCGCTCACTTCTTGGTCTTGCTAAGATGCTACACCGGGCCCCGACCGGTCGGAACTATCAGCCCCAGGAGGCAACCCAGAAAAATGACTTACCCGTCTCCCACGTCTGACGCACATCTAGCAGAACCTGGCCCAGCCGCCAGAACCCAGTCAGGCACCCGCTCGGACCACCCTGACGACGGATCGAGAGCGTCACTGACAACCACCCGGAAATGGTACCATAGCTTCCGGGGCCGCCTAGCGCGCGGCGGGAAATTATTTCCCAGAGCCCGGATTAGTGAGGTAGCGAGTGCTGCAGCGGCAGTCGTCTCCCCTGTCACCACCGCCACCCGAGGGAAGCAGCCCAGACTCTCCGGCAGGGAAGGTAAAGGGCCTCAGCTCGGAAGACACAGTGTACCCTGACTCTCTGGGGTTGTTTCCTCATTGCCCCCGAAGTTTCTGCGGCGCCCGGCTGTGAGATTGGGAAGGGGCTGGGGTTGAGCGCCGGCGGTGCCCGCTTCTCCTGCCTTCCGCAGCCACCATTCGTTCCCACTCGCCCGGCCTCGCTGAGCTCTGCGCCCGCGTTGGTGGGCTGCGGCCGCAGACCCCGCCCCGCTCCGCCCTTGCCGCGGCTGGGACCGCCGCCGGGAGTCTCCGCAGTGCAGGGCTGAGCGGCTTCCCCCGCCTCCTGTTTGCGCAGCTCGGCTGGTCGATCTTCTGCCAGGAAGGCGCTAGGCCACCGGCGTCTCTCGTTTCCATAGAACCGACTGGGACGCCTCTCGCTGAGTCTCTTGGCTGCTTTCCATAATTTAGCGTCAGTGCAGGTGGCTCGGATCCCCCGGGCCCACCTACCAGTGACGGGGAAAGTGGTGCCATTCTTTTCTCCCTGGTAGAATTTTTTAACGTAACCAAATGGTAATAATCATGTATTTGCGGCTACTGTATGCCTTTAAACATACGCACACACTTTTCCTAAAAGAAGGGTGTACGTTCCTGGAGGTTATAATATCTTAGCTGCCTGAGTCTGGGAACAAGAATAATCATTTTCACATTTCCTCCCACTTCCAAAGTGTCTGATTAAATATTGAAAAAAAATTTTTTTGGTTTGTCTCAGATACTTCCTGTCAGGATTTGACCCAGAAATTAGATGGAGCCTGATTTTTGGACGTCACCAGCTCTTTTTTTTTTTGACAAATGACTATCCTGTCCCCCTCCCCAATTTTTTTTTTCGTTGAGACTTTAGGTATGAACATTTAAATTGAATTTACAGTAGACGTGTGACGACAGAGTGCCTAGTGAACTTTTTGGTTTATGTTAAGTTATGCCTCAGTACCTAGAAGTATCTGTTGATATGCAAGGTGTTCTCGTTTTAGGAACTTTTCATAACTTGTATTGCAGGTGTTCAGTACATAAGTTGAATATCGGGGGTGTATTTTTATGTCTAAGTTGACTATATCTGATTTAAAGAGTATTGTTAATTTAAATGAATCAGGATGTTTTAAACACTTGAACGTATAAATTACTGTGAGACCATTAGCCTTCAAGTAATGCAGATAAGCCCCTTTTAGATCTGTTTTCTAAGTAACGATTTTTTTTTTTTTGCCTGTTGACTTCGGTTCAATTGTATGGTGTAATATTTTCTTGCTTCCTTAAAGCAGAAAGCATAATCATGTGAAACAGTCTTTGAAACAGTGGTTAAATGTGGCTACCTTTCATAATCAAAATTCATACCTCTTATGACTTCATAATAGTATCCAAAATTTTCATGGAAATGTTTTTTTTTTAACCAATAGTATAGCTTTATTAACTAAAGAGTATTTTTCTTATTCTAAGGTAATCTTTTCATTGCTTAAACACTTTATAAAATGAACAATTGCATATAGACTGAATAATAAAACCTAAAGAAAGTACAGAATCCTCTTTCTCAATAAGACAACTATAATGAAATAATGTAACTCTTGTAATTGTCCATAAATATGCTAATGGAAAACATATCCTGCACAATGTATTATGTACTCTTTCTAACCTTCTAAGGACATCTTATTGCTTAAAAGTAAAGTCTCCCTGAAACTTTTTTTAAGTTATTTTTTAGAGGTTTATTGATTTTGAGAGAGTGAGAGCATGAGCAGGGGGCAGGGCAGAGAGAGGGAGAGAGAACCTCAAACAGGCTCCATATTGTCAGTGCAGAGCCCGATGTGGGGCTCCAACCCATGAGCTACAAATCATGATATAAGCTGAAACCAGGAGTTGGACACTTAACCAACTGAGCCACCCAGGTGCCCCAAAATATCCCTGAAACTTTTTTTTAATATTTATTTTTGAGAGAGAGAGAGAGAGAGCGCTCGTGCACAGGTGGGCAAGAGGCAGAGAGGGAGACACAGAATCTGAAGCAGGCTCTCAGCTGTCAGCACAGAGCGCAACATGGGCCAAAGTCAGATGCTTAACGGACTGAGCCACCCAGGTGCCCCTCCCTGAAACTTTTAGGTTGACTTAGTTTTTACTTTCTTTGTATCAAAATTACTTTGAAATAGGCTGTTTCCTTGTTCTTGATGGAGAAAAGCCCATATGAATTAGTCTAGTAATTAATTCATCTGAGATCCATTTTGAAAAGAAAATAATGAAAATTTACTTTTTCGTAATAAAAAAAAATGGCACTCTTTAGATTGTTCCTAGAAATGCGTTGAAATTTTAGACATTAGTGTTATTTTTTTAATTATGTTTACATATTTTCAGTAATACTGTTTATTTAAATATCTCCTCACCCTCATAGTAGATTCCTTTTCCTGCAGTATATTTTTCTTTTGTACTAGCTAAAAATAGGTTAAGTTGTAAAATTATAATGTGGTTAAAAGTATTAGGCTAAATTCTGAAATTTAAGTTCGTGGTATTGTAGAAAAGGCGTTTAGAAACAGAAACAGGCAGATATTTGAACCAAACCTTGGTTTCACCATTTTGCTAGCTGTGTACCCTTGAGCTAGTTTCTTAATCGCTAAGATTCTCTAGTATCCTCATCCGTATAAGAAGGGTAAACAGCACTTAAATTGTCACTAAGGGAAGGAACTAACATGTAGTATACAGACTATAGTTAGGTCCTCATTAAGAGTGAACTCTTGCTTGTTTAACTTTATATCTTATGCTTCTACTAAGTAATTAATACAAAGTTCCTAGTGTACTTAAAGCAGGTTTGACTTTCATCCCCCATAGCTAGCCAACATAGACGGTCTATCCATTCTTTTTTCCCTGAACATGGCCCCTCTTGTCCATCTTGTTTCCTTAAGGGTGGCTTTATCCATAAAAATAGCATCTCCAGTGCACTTGTTCCTTGTATGGTACTGGATAGATAGAATATCTCCGTAAGTCCTCTTAACCTGCCATTTCTTCCTCACCAGAGTCATTCTGCTGCAACTTCATTTGCTCCCTCTTCTGCTAAATTTACCGTCAAAAAGACTGAGTATGACTGCTCCTTTCCCAAGTAATGCCATTGGAATAAGAGCATGCCTTTGGTCTCACCACTGGAGACCTATACACACTGGAGGCAAATACACACAAGCACACATATTTTGTATCTTTAAAGGAAGAGGCAGGAATGGACACTACATCTTTAAGAAAAAAATTCCAAAGGCCAGCTGAATGAAATTAAAAAAGGCCTCATTTGGCTGTTAGGCCAAGAGGGTACATACAGAATTCCTAAATTTCGCTTGATGTTACCGCATTCAGAGCCAAACAGTAATCTACTCACTATGAATACAATGATTTGTATATACCTTTTGTGATACTGGTTAAAACAGAGATCCAACCCTTTGACCCTTTTTCACTTATTTGCTTTCCCTGTTAAACGCTTTAGGTAGGAGAAACCATGAAAATCTTAAAACTCTTGACAAAGCAGCAGTATTGATTGTATTTAAGACTTGGTATATCCTTTCCAGAAAAGGGAAGTTTAGAAGTGATTTTCTTTAGTAGATTTAAAATCAAAAGAGAGGTAGGTTTAAAAGCAAAATAGTTCCCTAGAATAACATTAAGAAACTTTAGTTTTCAGTTTTCAGTTACTTACTGGTTGCCTTGAAAGGATGAAGAATATTCACTGGCATGGAAAAATGAACATGATAATATTTTAAATAAAACTTAAAATACAGAACTATATCATCTCAGTTTTGTTTATATATATATGTTATTTTTTCACATACATAAACTTTTAAGTAAATCCTTTATCTTAATTATTAGCATACAACTTAAAGGATGCATTATGGTTGATCATAAAATCAATGTAATCAGAAGATCAGACGTTTATGCTTATTTTTCTACCACAAACTTTGTTGAGCATCCCTGCCCATTTTTTGCAGCACTTTATTCTTTCACTCAGTGGTTTACACCCTGGTTTTTTATCCTCCCTCCTGAACCAGACCTTTGCATTCAACTATATTCCTACTGTATTGTCTCTACTTCTCCCTGACTTCTCTTTTCTATACACTTGGTCATATTCTTCAGTTATGTTCTAGCTATGTGTCATTGTAAAGAATTCATAGACCCTAAAAAGCTAGTACATAATAAAATGTTCTTAATTATGAGTGCTATAGGTTTATTTGCATTTCCAACCAACACCAACTGCACAGGAATTTCAGGCATCAGGGATAGGCCCATGTGGGAGATATTTTGGGAAAGTCCACACCACAGAGACATTTGCTTTCTCTGCATAAATGCCAGCTCTGTTCACAATCATTATCTGCTTAGTTGTGTGTATTATATGGTTCAAGGTAAGTAACTATTTTTTTAAATACTATGTTTAAAAAAATTATTACAAAAGTATTTTCTTGTAACTAAGAATGTAGTGTGTAATTTTTCACTTTTTGAGGGTAAAGGTAAAACCTTTAACTTTAAATAAATGCTCTCTGTTTTCTCTTCTTTTTGTTGTGTTAGGATAGTAGCTTCTGTGTGAATGCTTGAAGGACCACTCCCTACAAGTTCTAGAAAAAGCTATCATTTCCTTAGAAATACCAATGATAGAATTATATTGCAGCATGTTTACTTACTTTCTTGCACTGGAAGACATCTGGCAGTTAGCCCTTGATCCTCCGTACCCCAGAACATATCACCCACATAAAACTTGACCCTTCTTATGAGGACTTTGAATTATTTGAGTCATTAGTAGTTATTAAACCAGTATTATATAATCCTCTCTTTGGGCTTATTGGCATATCAGGCTGTTGTTTCTTGTTTTCTTAATCCTGCAGGGTCATAGGAAGAATCATTAAACCACTGATTTAATAAATATAAATAACACTACTCATGTATCTATAAATGTCTTTTTCTATGTATACAAATATCAATTTTTTCATGTATCTGTATGAATTATATCAGTGATCCAGCCCATAAGTTTGTCATAGGATT